AGCTCCCATGTCTACTACTCTTAGTCCAGCTTGGACTCCACCAAATTCAGGTTACATGAAATTGAACTTTGATGGCAGCAGTGAAGGAAATCCAAGCCCTTCAGGCATATTTCAAGGATGAAGAAGGTCGAATTATTGCTATGTTCTCAAGACCTATAGGTTGAGGGGATTCACTGAGAGCTGAAATCTTGGCAGCTCTAGAAGGAATTAAAAGAGCTAAGCAGTTGAAGATCAGTAATTTGCTGGTGGAAGGTGACTCTCAGCTGATTATTAGATGGTTGCAGAAGGAAGAGTCCAGCCTGTGGAAGTTTTCAAATGAAAAAAAAATAAGAAAATTAATCAGTTAACTCAAAACATGCATATAAGGGTTCAATGGGCCAAGAGGAGTGCTAACTCTATGGCAAACACTTTGACTAAACAGGGGGTGGGAAGAGCAAAATTCTTTTGGGCTCTTTTGTAATCTGTTTTTTCAGTTTTGACAGGGAGGGTTAAGACTTTTTACCCCTCCATTCTGGTTGTAATTTTCCATCTTATTTCTTAATAAAAATTACTGTTATTGATAAAAAAAAAAACTACCCTCCCATTGAATCCTAATAGTCATGTTTCTTGTTAGCCATTTAAAATTTTTACTGAGATCCCTATAGCACCAAATGACTGAATCCAGATTAATCAACCACCTCACTACCACTTTGGAGTCTCCTTCAACTTATAAATTCTCCACACCAATTTGGCATGCAATCGTAACACTTTTAAAAGCAGCTAGGTGTAAGTTCGGTGGTTAGGCTACGTGAGAGTGGTCTCCTTGAAAGACAAAGGAAAACTGGTGGCAGGAGGTAAGTTGAAGGCTAGGATAAATGAGAATGATAAGGTGATAAGGCCGAATGAGTAATGGAATGATTGAATGATGACTTCGTTATGAGATGGTCTCTAATTTATAAGGAGGGATCTCGAGGTCCCAAAAGGAAGGAGCCAAAAGTGTTTAATTCCTACTAGGGAAGGGAATATTGGATTTGTTGTTGGTCATTAAGGAGCATTGCTATGGTTTCACCACGTGTCTTATGAGATCTCTCAAGGTCTAACTTTCCTTTCGTCCGAAGATTCTCATAATCCGCATGTGCTACTTCCTTTCATGACCCATTTAACCCTGGCACTGGTGACATCATCATTTAGCAGGTGCACTTTTATTAGACCCATGTGGCGCCTTATCGCGTGTGTAATTAAAGATGGACGTGTAACCGATATTTGTTCCTGGTCTACAGTGATCCCGCGGTTCTGTAATGGTCTTGGATTCATCGCAATTCCCCGCACATCCAAAGTTCATCACAGAACCGCGCGCCTAAAGTTCTTCGCGACTCGTCTTAAATACAAGTTTGTCTCAATCGTGCGATGAGTTATACATTCATCACAGTCGTCCGATGGATTATAAGCTCATCACAGGCAATTGATGAGTTGTGAACTCATTGCAAGAGTCCATGGGGTACCAATTTGGTATCCTCTGTATTCTGATGGTCTAAGTGATCACTGTGTACCTACACTAGGAGTTCGGCCATAATAGAGTTTCCAAAACCCACTAGGCCCAAGAAAAAAAGCTACATTGTTGTCCTTATCTCACAAAACACCTCCTATGCCCAAGGGTCCTAGGTTACCCTAACTACTTCCATTAAAATTCAGTTTCACAACCCCTTTAAGGGGAGGAGTCCAAGAAACAATGGTCCAATGTTTTCGAAGTGAAATGTCCAAAAAAACGCAAGGGCCATTTTGCACCTAATGCGCAAGCTGCAAGGCGAGGTGCACGCCTTTTTGAAACAAGGCACAAAAATGAAAAAAAAATCTAAGAAATCCAAAAAAAATGCCAAAGATTCAAAAAAAAAAACAAAAACTATTATCTTAAATTAAAATACATAAACATAACATGTAAAACATATTCAAGCATGTAAGTTCCTAATCTCTTATTTTTTTCCCCTTGCATTACTTCAAATTGCTAATGTGTTGTAAAACATTATGCATTCTTGATTCTAAGAGCCGCCTTTGTACCAAGCCCCTAGAGGAAAGCCCAAACAAGTCCATATTAGGGTCTAAACTTCTTAATCCATATTAAAAAGAAAGATTTTATAACCTCGTGTATCTTTTAAAAATATAAAATATCTTTTATTAGGGTGAATAAATGAGTAACATTAGCAAATATGGGGTTTTGAAGCTTCGGTGAGCGAGCGAAGTGAGCAAGTCAACAAATTGCAATGGAGACCCTAGCCCCAGCTGCTAAACACACAACAAAACAAAAAAAATGCATAGATTTTCAAAAGGTGAACACCTGGGCTGAAGCGCACCTTAAAATACGTCGTGCCTATGCACCTAGGCACGCCTAAGGGGCACCTTTTAAATCATTGTGATGGTCCTTTCCATAGTAGAATGACTGGAAGCCACAGCCAACTAGCTCAACCAATTTATTGCCCTTGTCAAGATACCGTCCTTAACTTCTATGAGACTCCTTTCCTTGAAAAATTCTAGCATTCCTCTCTTCCAAAATTGTCCAAAGGTCGACAGCTCTAATACATCTCCACATAATACTCCCTCTTTTCATAGGCCACACAAAGGAAGGCGACTCAAATAACAAAGCTACTTCATTGGAAGAGTCCACCTGCACCCAAACAAGGCAAAAATCCAATTCCAAATATTTGTAGCAAAGAGACATGATATTAGCAAGTGGTGAAAGTCCTCACCATGTGATTTACAAAGAAAACACCAATTTGGGGCAAGCATAAAGAAGGCCTTCTCTTCTGCAAATTATCCGAAGTATTAGTCTTCCCATGAAATACTTCCCAACAAAACACAGATTTTTAAGGGAATAGGTCTAGTCCAAACCTCCTCAACAAGGAAAACCTAAGGATTCGAGGAGGAGCAAAGGTAACTAAAGGAAGCAACCGAAAAAAGAACCTTTGGGTAAGGGGGACCAAGTCCATCTATCTGGCTAAAGAGGACCCAAACAGACTTGATGCCAAGAAGTCTTTTAGCATATAATTCATCATCACCTTCTTGCAACTTAAGTCTTTAACCTCAAATGTAATGCGAAGAAGTCTTTCAGTATTTGAATCTCCTCTGAGTCATTTCCAATGATCACCATATCATCAACATGCATAATAAGGCAATTAGACTATCATTTTCCTTCCTAATGAATACGGTGTAATCAGCACTACTTTGCTTGTATCCCACATTTTTCATGGCTCTACACAATCTTTCATATTATGCTCTACGAGATTGCTTCAAGCCATGTGATACTCTCTTCAATTTATACACATTTCCTTTCGTCATATCCTAGAAGGTGCCTATATAAACTTTTTTAAGGCCTCCATTAAAAAATGCATTCTTAACATCTAATTGATGCAATAAAGTAGAACCCATATATCATTTAGCTTTACAACAAGAGTAAATGTCCCCTTATAGTTAATGCCTTCCCTCTGTATTAATGCCTAAGCAATCAAACCAATTTTTGGCAGGGATTAAGAATTTAAGACCCTAGCATGGACTTATTTGGGCTTACCTGAAGGGCCACAATGCTTAAAAAAGTACAAAAAGCACCAAATGTAACAAAGGTGCATGCTAGGACTAGGTGCAAGGCACACCAAACACAAACCTTCTAATCACTACTAATAAGGTCATGTATCATGTCTTTCATATTCAATTCCATATCCAGCCATGTCCTCGTCATTAGACCTGTTCATGGACCAGGCTCAGGCTTGGTTGTTGCCAAAATTTCACTAGGCCCAGCTCGAAGCCCGAGCCCGACATAGTGTAAAGTCAGGCTCAAAGTCAGGCCCGTGAATCATCAATCGTCATATCTAGGTAATATAGGTCATTTTCCTTATTTTGATTATACTCCACTTGTTGGCCAGATAAAACACTTCCTTCTCTACATGAGTCTTCATGATTGCTTTCCATTACTTCACACCATAATGTCCTTCTTGGTAACTTGGTTCCTAGTAACCATTTGTATTTCTAAAACCCCTTTTACCCTACCAACATATAGAAGCCTATTATACACTAACCTAACACATGGTTAACAAATTTGATATCGATGGACATTTCTCCATGTAGAGATTGAGAAATTTTAAAGATATGTCGTTAAGATATTTGGAAAATCTAAAAAAACAAGAAGTTTTTCTAGAAACATGGAATTAATGATTAAACCATCAAATAATCAGTAGAATAAATATAAGTGCACATTTAAGGCTCAAAAAAACAAAGCAAAGAATTGGATAAATCAAATAGGAGAAAATTTAGAGACTTCACTGATTTCTTTCTCTTTGTTTCTTTTTAGTCTTTTAGCCATCTTCTTTTCATTAACTATGTCAATTACTTGCAATATTGACCTCCTTTTTCTTTTTAGTTACCATATATTTTGGATAATTTGAGAATACCCATTTATAGCTATATGAATGTTACTTTTTCTTTTGAATTATAATGACTTAGTAAGTAAATAATATCAAAATAATAAGCCGATTATCCAATCACCAATTCCCCATGGTCCTTTTGGGAAAATATTTAAAAATAAAATGATTTTAACAAAATATCGAAAATTTTTAGTAGTGTTCTAAAATTTTAAACCTTAAATATATAGTCCATTAATGAAATCTGAAATATCACCAATTCCCCATGGTTCTTTTAGGAAAATATTTTTAAAAATAATGATTTAAATGAAATTTCTAAAAGCTTTTAATAGTATTCTAAAATTTTAAACCTTAAATATATAGTCTATCAAGGAAATCTGAAATACCCCTGACATATCAGCAAAGTACCAGAGATATTTGGGAAAAAAAGATTCTTGGAAAATTTTGTATTGCCACCTAGCAAAATGGGGATATTTCGCCAAAATCGTTGATGTTGCAAACCATGACTTAACACATGATAAGAAACTAAAACCTATACAAATTTAGCATGTCCATACATTGTCGTAATACTACATGCCTTGTGTAAAACAGAAAAGGAAATCATAGAATACAAACCTGAACCAACGCTGCACCTGCCAAGGCCATTATCACCCTGCAAATACTCATAGCCTGCACCAGAAATGTTCAACAAACAAGTAAGAATCATAAAAAACTCACATAAATAAATTCAAACTTCATGACCTATGAATACATTCTTTACATACATACACAATTTGGCTAAAATCATACAGTATACCTTTAGCATGAGGAGTAATAGAGGTGGTGCGTAAAGAAGCACATTCATCTTTATTGAAACAGCTGCACTATATGAAGAAAGACAAAATAAGTTGGACCAATTCTTATTACACAACTTGAATATATGGCAAAGATTCAATTTCAACCTGAATACCATCAACCCCAAATGCCATCTCTCGTAAAGAATTAATGCCAATGAAGCATGAAGGAAGGTCATGGCAAAACAATCATTGAAGAGCCGGAGCACAAAAATGGAGTGGACTCTTTTAGACAAACAGAGCAAGGAAAAAGCCCAGCACGGAAGCTGCAAGACAGTTCACAGTTCCCGAACAATCAAATACAAGAGTGACGTTGAGAACAGGCTGCCACACTCATAGGCATAATCAAAAAAGTATATGTTAAAAGGGAATATATAATGTACAAAACAACAAAGTGATGTGCAACAACATACAAGTTTGCTTACTCCTATGGATCTATAAAAGAGATTTATCCATGTAAAGGATAACGGAACTTGTTTACATATATACAAGAAAGCGACATATACAAAGGAGTCTTTTCATCAGTAACCGAAATAATTTATTAATATGGAAGTTAAAATACAACAAAATATACTAGCAGTATGATCACTTTTTTATGTACAATCACAGTCCTTGTTGTGCTGTACACTCTATGAAGAGTGGATCCTTGATAACAACACCATTTCAACCAGGGTTATTCCCCCCATGTTAAGTACCAAAGTAGATTATTTTTTATCAATAACAGGAAAATTCCATTAATGAATAGGAATCAAGTACAAAGGAGGGGAGAGATAAAGAAATACAAGATTACAACGTAGCCCCAAGCAAATGATTTCTACCCACCCCTTGTTTAGCAAGAGCATCTGCAAGGAATTAGCACATCTTTTTACCCACTGCAATCTCACCTCCATACCATGAGTCAGCATCTTGAAAAGTCTTTGTTCATTGATGTAAGTCCACATACTATCATCTTCCTTCCCCAGCCTTCGGATTACAACTTTAGAGTCTCCTTCAATGATCAACCTGTTAAATGTAGTTCCTTAGCCCTTTTCATACCCTCCATCAAAGCCAAAATTACTCTCAGTGAGCATCACTAATTGGACCAGAAAACATAACTATGACTGAACCTCCCTCTGACCTAAAAACTCCACCAATCCCTGAAGGTCCAGGTTCACCCTCACTGTTACCATCAAAGTTTAGCTTGATAAAACCTGCACAAGGTGGAGACTATAAAGGCTGCACAATTCTTATGCCCAGAGCTGAGGTTACCATTTCCTGCCAATTATTCAATAGAGTCCCAATGTGAATGTCATTAAATAACTCCACTGTTTTTACCCAGTGAACAACCCTGGAAGTGATCACTTCTATGACTGCTTCTCTATTTCTCTCCTTTTCAGCAAATATTCTTTGGTTCCTTTCCTCCCAAGTTGTCCAGCAAACTGCCACTCTAGTACATCTCCATAATATTCTACCCCTCCTCTTTGTCCAGCTCAAGTTGTCAAGGCGACGCCTAGGTGGGCGCCTAGGCGACAAGGCGCCCTTGGAGGCTCGCCTCGCCCAGTCGCCAAGCAGTTTTGTGAAGTGGGTTATAAAATACTTTTATATTTTTTATTTTTTGACATTATAATTATAAAATAGCCATTATTAAACTAGAACATTCATATTATGTGTTTATATACTAATTTCTTTTTATTATTTCTTATTTTGTTAGGGTTTAATCAACGCAAACATTGCTAACTGCTGTATTGAACCCATGGTTCAAAGTATCGATACACCTCTGTGTATTGGCAGAGGTGTATCAGTACTTATAATGATACTCCCCCTATTTTATTTTTTTTATTTCTTTGGTTTTCAATTTCATTTTTAAATATATATATATATATTATTTAAAAAAACGGGTCCCCAAAAACACCTGTAAAGAGGTATTGGGACCCCAAAGATACAATACAATACACCCGATATGGGGTGTATCATATCAAAATTTTGATCCTTGACTGAACCCTCAAAAATTTCAAAACCTGAACCAATAAGCAAAGGAAGAACTTAAAATTTTGTCTAATCAACACATTTTCTTCTTCCACCTTTTCTTTTCTTCTTTCCTATAACAAAAGTAGGGGGGTTCAGACCCTATATTTTATGAATTTTCTTTCCTTTGTTCTTTTTCTTCTCATAAAATGTTGATTTTCTAGACTTAAACATGAAATTTACACTTCTCTTATGAAAATTATGAATAATTATTAAGGAAAGATGGTTATGAAACCTAGGGAACTACCCTAGTATATATGGTTTTACTTGAAAAAAAATCCATTGCCTAGGCGTCACCTAGGTGACTAGGGGACAAGGCGCCCCCCTATCGCCTAGCCTCGCCTTGGCACCTTGAAAACTATGGTCCAGCTACCAGCAGAAGAAGTCAAAGAGGCCTTGTAGACTTAGTGGGGGAGTCCAGCTGCAACAAAACAAAGAGAGAAACCAAACCCAAATATAAGTAACAAAGGGCCATGAGATTAATAAATGGAAAAAAGACTCACCACTGGCTTTACAAAGAGTACACCAGTTAGTAGACAAGCACCAAAAAGGCTTCTTCCCTTGAAGTTGGTCGCAAATGTTAATTCTTCCCAAGACTATTTCCCAGCATAGTGCCCCAACCCTTGGCAAGACCAGTTTCCCCAATGATTTAAGCGCACAAGCGAGCCGCATTTTGGGGTATGTGCCTCGCCTAGGTCCTAGGCGCACCCCTTTCAAAATCATGCGCCCAGATGCGCCTTGTGCCTCAAACCAAGCGTACGCCTTTTTAAAATTTTGCGCTTTTTGCCTTTTGTTGAGTCTAACGTTGTTCATTCATTCATTCCAATAAAATATCTTCTTAAAAGGCAATTGAAGTTATAAAATCATTATCTTTCATGTGAGAAATAAGAATTTCAAACCCTAAAATGGACTAGTTCGAGCTTGCCTCGAGGGGCGTGGTACAAAGGCAACTCATAGAATGAATGTTTTACATCACATTAGCTACTTGAAGCAATGCAATTAAGGAAAAAAAGAGATTGTGGGTTTTACATGCTTGAAAATGCTTTATATGTTTGCTTTTATTTTTAAATTTTCATTTGAAGACGCTTTACATGTTATGTTTATGTATTTTAATTTTAGATAATTGGTTTTTAAAAACATTTATTTTAAAATTTATGTTTATATTTTTTATTAACATTATGTTTAATATTTTTTGAATTTTTTGCATTTTTTAAAAATTTTTGGCATTTTTTTTGAAGTATGAGAGTTGTGAGTTGGCAAAGCATTGCAGATCAACTTACTCACAAAGTAATAAAAGAAGTTCTTTTCTTTTTGAAATTGTGCATACTAATGTTTGGGGCCCTATCATATTCCTGCTATGGGTGGGTACAAATACTTTCTATTGTTTGTTGATGACCACTCTCGATTTTCATGGATTTACCTCATACGCTCTCGGGATGAGGTTCCCACTTTGACCCACATTTTTCATCAAATGATCCCGACTCATTTTGGGGTTAAAATAAAAAATCTCAAATCTGATAATGCCAAAGATTTGCAAAACCCTTATCTTCTTATCTCCTTGAACATGGAGTGATTCATCAGAGCACTTGTCCTCATACACCTCAGTAGAATGGTGTGGCTGAGAGGAAAAATAGGCACATCCTTGAAGTTGCAAGAAGCATCATGATGAATACTAATGTTCCTATTCATTTCCGGAGGGATGCCATTCTTACTATTGTTTATCTCATTAACAGGATTCCTTCACGAGTCTTGTACATGAAAGCTTCTTTTAACTTGTTGTATCCTAATAAAGAGCAATTTTCTGTTCTTCCCAAAACCCTTGGTTGCACTTGTTTTGTCCAAATCCTTGGGCCTGCCCATTCAAAATTTGATCCTAAGGCTGCCAAATGTATCTTCCTAGAGTATGCACAAAATCAAAAGGGGTATTGTTGTTATAACCCTATCTCAAGAACTAGATTTGTATCTATGGATGTCACCTTCTTTGAAGATGTCCCCTATTACCCTAGGGTTTCACCTCAAGGGGAGAGTGGTGAGTAGGGTGTGTTTGCTCAAGATGTTCCTTTGCCAATTCCTGCAACGGGAGGGGAGTGTAATGAGGGGAATTGTCAAAAGTTTAAAGAATTGAGGGTGTTCCACAAAAGATGGTGGCGGCAAGTTGGTTCTAGTAATGATCAGTCCAAGCTAGTTCCTATCTTTTCCGCGGAACCAGATTCAGGTATTGCCTCCTCCTTACCCACTCTTACTACTGATGGCATACCCTCTTCCACTACTGTGCCTCAGCCATCCTTAGATGACCTTGACCTCCCGATTGCAGTACGTAAGGGGAAGCATCGATGTACCTCATCCTCTGCCCATTGTATCTCTCATTTCCTTTGTTATGATCGCATTTCGTCATCATATAAGTCCTTTTTGGTCTCCATTGCTGCCATTCCTATTCCTAGACAAGTTCAAGAGGCCCTTGTTGTCCCTGAGTGGAAAGAAGCAATGAAGGTTGAGATGGATGCCCTTGTAAAAAATGGTACTTGGGAACTGGTTGATCAACCAAGAGAGAAGAAGCCTATTGGGTGTAGGTATTCACAGTGAAGTATAATGCTGATGGTATAGTTGAAAGATATAAAGCTAGACTGGTGGGTGGTGGCTAAGGGATACACTCAAATTTATGGTATTGATTACTTGGAGACCTTTGCACCAGTTGCAAAAATGAATACCATCAGAGTTTTACTGTCTCTTGCTGTTAATTTCTCTTTGCCTCTGTTTCAAATGGATGTTAAGAATGCATTTTTAAATGATGACTTGCAAGAGGTGTATATGGATTTACCTCCTGGTTTTTATGATGCAAAGATTGGTAAGAAAGTTTGTAAGTTGAAGAAAGTTGTGTATGGTCTAAAACAATCTCCAAGGACATGGTTTGATAGATTCAGACTTGCTTTGGAAAGAGTTGGCTATGTTCAAGCCAAATCTGACCACACTCTGTTCATTAAGAAGAAAGTATTTACTTTGACTCTCCTAGTTGTGTATGTGGAAAACATTGTTGTGACAGGAAGTGATATTGATGAGATTAATTCCCTTAGGCAACTGCTTAATGAAGAATTTGAAGTAAAGGACCTGTGTGAGTTGAGGTATTTCCTTAGGATTGAAGTGGCAAGGCCCAAGCATAGCATTTTTGTTTCCCAGAGGAAGTATGTTCTTGATCTCTTGGAAGAGACAGGAAAATTGGGAGCTAAGCCTGCTGATACTCCCATTGAGAAAAATCAAAAGATTA